TGGGTTGGGGCAGGGTTAGGGTTGGGGTGTGGTGGTTTGGGGCAGGGTTTGGCTGGGGTGTGGTGGGTTGGGTGTGGTGGGTTGGGGCAGGGTTAGGGGTTGGGGTGGTGGGTTGGGGCAGGGTTTGGGTTGGGGTGTGGTGGGTTGGGGCAGGGTTAGGGTTGGGGTGTGGTGGGTTGGGGCAGGGTTGGGTTAGGGTTGGGGTGGTGGGTTGGGGCAGGGGTTAGGGTTGGGGTGTGGTGGGTTGGGGCAGGGTTTGGGTTGGGGTGTGGTGGCTGGGGTGTGGTGGTTGGGGCAGGGTTAGGGGCTGGGGTGTGGTGGGTTGGGGCAGGGTTTGGGTCGGGGTGGGGTGGTGGGTTGGGGCAGGGTTAGGGTTGGGGTGTGGTGGGTTGGGGCAGGGTTTGGGTTGGGGTATGGTGGGTTGGGGCAGGGTTTGGGTTGGGGTGTGGTGGGTTGGGGCAGGGGTTTGGGCTGGGGTGTGGTGGGGTGGTGTGGTGGGTTGGGGCAGGGTAGGGTTGGGGGTGGTGGGCTGGGCAGGGTTTGGGTGGGGTGGGGTGTGGTGGTTGGGGCAGGGTTAGGGTTGGGGTGTGGTGGGTTGGGGCAGGGTTTGGGTTGGGGTGGTGGGTTGGGGCAGGGTTTGGGTTGGGGTGGGGGTGTGGTGGGTTGGGGCAGGGTTAGGGTTGGGGTGTGGTGGGTTGGGGCAGGTTTGCAGGGGGTTGGGGTGTGGTGGGTTGGGGCAGGGTTAGGGTTGGGGTGTGGTGGGTGGGGCAGGGTTTGGGTTGGGGTGTGGTGGGTTGGGGTGTGGTGGGTTGGGGCAGGGTTAGGGTTGGGGTGTGGGTTGGGGCAGGGTTAGGCTGGGGTGTGGTGGGTTGGGGCAGGGGGGGTTGGGTGTGTGGGGTGTGGTGGGTTGGGTTGGGGTGAAATTGATATTGGATAACGATACCTGATTGTTGGTGTGATGTTATGGTGGGAGATGATGGCTCTTCAGGAATAAAAGGAAAGCTATTTCATCAGTGACGCTAAGACCTGGACAGGGAGGTAATTTCACGGTTGCCTTCCTCGCTGCTAAAGGTGTGGCTGTTGAGACACACTACAGATGTCAGCCCTAACACTTACGCTCCTTGACGTCAGCCCTAACACTTACACTCCTTGACGTCAGCCCTAACACTACACTCCATGACGTCAGCCCAACACCACAATCCTTGACGTCTGCCCTAACACTACACCTCGCTGACGTCAGCACTAACATTCCACACCCCGACGTCAGACCCTAACACTTACACTCCTTGACGTCAACTCTAACACTACACCGCTGACGTCAGCCGTAACACTACACTCATTGACGTCAGCCCTAACACTACACTCATTGACGTCAGCCCTAACACTACACTCCTTGACGTCAGCCCTAACACTAAACTCATTGACGTCAGCTCTAACACTACACTCATTGACGTCAGCTCTAACACTACACTCCTTGACGTCAGCCCTAACACTAAACTCATTGACGTCAGCCCTATCACTTACACCTTTTTTTTAAGCCTTAAGTAATATGTCATTCACGTATGAACAAGTCTTATAATTTTAGGATGAGGTTTGGTTAGGTTAGGTTAGGTTACGTTAGGTTACGTTCGGTATATTGAGGGTTATGTTAAATTAGGTTATGTTGGGTTAGGTTAGATTAGGTTGGTTGGGTTAGGTTAGGTTGGGTTAGGTTGGGTTGGGTTAGGTTGAGTTGGGTTAGGTTAGGTTAGGTTAGGTTAGGTTAGGTTAGGTAGAATCGGTTAAAGGTTTGGAAGCGGCTTCAACAATTAAGACTATCACCTCCGTCAGGTAAACTCCAGATTCGAAGTTAATTTTCACTTTCTATTCGTTTTTGTTTTTTTCCCCACATTATTCCCTACCGGTACATTGGAAGTTAACACCACCACACACGGGAACTATCACCCTAATGTTTGTTGACAGTTTTGAAGGTCCTGTTACTGTGCTGAAAGATTCCCGAGTTTGAAATAATAAAACCAAGACTTACTAGAAAAAAAATCTGAGTAAAAGTAGTTCACGATATTTTCTCTCGTTTCGTATTCCTAAAAAAAAATAATTCCCTGTCGTTGAGTGTTACAGTATTTGTACGGGAGAGTCAGGCGAGTAACTTTAATGTTTTGTTGAAAGTATATTGTTTTAATATGTGTAAGTCCTTCAGTTACAAGACTCATTAAGCACAGTTCATTGAGTCTTAGCTCTTACACTAGACAACTAACTTATGAAAAATAAAGTTGTATTTAATGAGGAACTTTAGTATACGGTGACGGTGGCCTTCGGCGTGTTGAGGAGGAGGAACGTGACACCTACTCCTCCCCCACACCTTCCCCTACCCACCTCCTCCCAAACACCTTGCTCTCCCCCACACGCTCCCCCTCCCCCCTCCCCCCTCCCCCTCCCCCACATCCCCCTCCCCACACGCTCCCCCTCCCCCACACGCTCCCCTCCCCCACACGCTCCCCTCCCCACACGCTCCCCTCCCCACACGCTCCCCCTCCCCACGCTCCCCCCCCACACGCTCCCCTCCCCCACACACGCTCCCCCTCCCCCACACTCGCTCCCCCTCCCCCACACTCCCCCACGTAGATGGATGGTCTGTGCTCTGTTTGCCCAGTAGTAACGGGAGAACTGAACGTGAGTCGATTAGTGGACGTGGCTCCAGGTGAAGTGTTTAGTTTAGTGAGTTAGGCTGCGAGTGACGCGAGATACTTGGCGCCCATACAGGGACACAAACAAACCCCGTCCTGGAGAAGATTACCCGAGTCATGCCTGAAGGAACAGTCCCCTTCACTAGTGCGTTTACAGGGGCTCATCATATAAACATTCCACAAATTATTATCTTTGAGTTATTTGTTTTAATAATTCTTTTAATTTCATTCCATAGTGTGTTTAGTAAGTTTTCTTCTGTTGAATATAAGCCACACTGCACAAAGCCTAACGAGCCCCCTGTAAATACACTAGTGAAGGGGACTGTACATCATCCTTGGAGGAGACAGACGGCCTTCTCAGCTGTGTGTCCTCTTTCCTCTTGATAGGGGGGGGGGAGGGGGAGGGGACTTCCTAGTAGCCATCTTAACCTCGACCTCTCCTCTATTCTTATATATAAAGTGTTTTTTTGTTGTTGTTTTACCTCGCTGAACAATATCCACATTCAATACTAGTGTCTGGTTAGTGTGTCTGTAGATTAATACCATTTCTCCATACCTCTAACTGTGTAATAAAACAAACTGACGACAATGGAATCACGAGAAGGGAGTCGCATCACATTCTCGGGGGGGGAAAAGATTATTATATCACCTTGAAACGATGACCAATAACTCGTGTGTCTCTATAAACTACACCATCCCTCCTTGTGTTGTTATAGAAGGCAGTGTCGTTTACTCAATAGAAACATTTCCCCATTAAGAAACATAAACCCTGGACTTGTGATTGATAACTACATACTCGTGCCATTATAATCTTCGCCCTGGACGCCTTGAGGACACCAAACGCTGCATATGATTCAGTATTATCGTCCATAGTCTTGTCACAGTAGTCCAGAGAAGGTGTGGCCCTTGCTCGTCACAGTAGCCCAGAGAAGGTGTGGCTCTTGCTCGTCACAGTAGCCCAGAGAAGGTGTGGCTGTTTGCTCGTCACAGTAGCCCAGAGAAGGTGTGGCTGCTTGCTTGTTACAGTAGTCCAGAGAAGGTGTGGCTGTTTGCTCGTCACAGTAGCCCAGAGAAGGTGTGGCTGTTTGCTCGTCACAGTAGTCCAGAGAAGGTGTGGCTGCTTGCTTGTCACAGTAGTCCAGAGAAGGTGTGGCTGCTTGCTTGCCACAGTAGTCCAGGAAAATTCTTGGCTGCTTGCTTGCCACAGTAGTCAGAAAGGTGTGGCTGCTTGCTTGTCACACAATAGTCCCAGAAAGGTGTGGCTGCTTGCTTGTCTAATAGTCCAGAAAGAAAGGTGTGGCTCTTGCTCGTCACAAAAGTAGCCCAGAAGAAAGGTGTGGCTGCTTGCTTGCCACAGTAGTCAGAAAAGAAAAGGTGTAACTGCTTTAGCATGCAATAGTCCCAGAAAGAAAAGGTGGCAGCTGCTTGCTCGTCACAGTAGCCCAGAGAAGGTGTGGCTGCTTGCTCGTCACAGTAGCCCAGAGAAGGTGTGGCTGCTTGCTCGTCACAGTAGCCCAGAGAAGGTGTGGCTGCTTGCTCGTCACAGTAGCCCAGAGAAGGTGTGGCCCTTGCTCGTCACAGTAGCTCAGAGAAGGTGTGGCTGCTTGCTTGGCTTCTAGTATTCATCCTTATCGTAACACCAAAGACGATAGACCTTTAAAGCAAGTTTGTGTTGTGGTGGACGATAATGTCCGTGTGTATGTGAGAAGAATTATTAAAGATGTTCAAGAATTATCTGAGTGTGTGTGTTTGTTTCTTTGTCTTTATTGTCTGTCCCTCTATTTCTCTGTCTGTCTGCCTTTATCTCTCTGTCTGTCTGTCCTTATCTCTCTGTCTGTCTGTCTGTCTCTGTCTGTCTGTCTGTCCTTATCTCTCTGTCTGTCTGTCTCAGCACTGGTCCAATTTTCCCGACTTCAGGCATCTCACTCAGGGGAGGTCAAGTCACTTAAGATTTTTTCCCTCGGTCTAATTCTCGTTAGAAGCAAATGAGGGAGTGACACTTACCTGAGACCATGTAGAGTGAAGTTAATGAAGCAAGTGAGGGAGTGACACTTACCTGAGACCATGTAGAGTGAAGTTAATGAAGCAAGTGAGGGAGTGACACTTACCTGAGACCATGTAGAGTGAAGTTAATGAAGCAAGTGAGGGAGTGACACTTACCTGAGACCATGTAGAGTGAAGTTAATGAAGCAAATGAGGGAGTGACACTTACCTGAGACCATGTAGAGTGAAGTTAATGAAGCAAATGAGGGAGTGACACTTACCTGAGACCATGTAGAGTGAAGTTAATGAAGCAAGTGAGGGAGTGACACTTACCTGAGACCATGTAGAGTGAAGTTAATGATGGGTTGGAATTAATCTCACACACGTAAACACCTTTATCAGTGACCTTGGCCTTCTTGATCACTAGTACCCACACGTCACCACCTGCTGGGAGAAAAGACGAGATTACCATATGATTAATGACACGTTTATCGGAATGTTATTTAGGAATCTGATGAATAATAAGGGAGAAATATATTTGATTAAAGGGAACAGGTGAATATATTAGTTATTCATCTTACCTGTAGGGAAAGGTGGCAAAAAGTAAGTAGATAAAATAGACCTTTTAGTAAGGCTTGATAGGGATCTTATTACCTCACACCAAACCATCGTTGTGATATGTAAAATGCCATTCCCTTTTTTGTATTCCTCGTGTGTCTAAATATCGAATTGGTAGTTAGTGAGTTTCCATTCTTTCCTTCCGCGTGTTTAAGGAAGAGTTACGGGAGAAATGACTATTTGTAATGAGACCTATAACACCTGACCACTGCTGCACGTATTGTTTTGGGTTAGGTGAGGTCAAGTCAGGTTGGGTTGGTTTACGTTTGGTTAGGTTAGGTCAGGTCAGGTTGGGTTGGTTTAGGTTAAGTTAGGTTGGGTTGGTTTAGGTCAGGCCAGGTTTTGGTTGGTTTAGGTTTAAGTTGGGTTAGGTTAGGTCAGGTCAGGTCAGGTCAGGTGGTTGTGTGACACCAAAGGAACCACAAGGTCAGTCAAAGACACACGCCACTCCTGATGTTCAACCATGAAGGAATTAACACAAGAAGTACGTCTACTGCTTACTTACTTAGTATCGACCTCTCTGCTTGTTAGTCTGCCTGCCAGCCTGCCTGCTATCGACCTGTCTGCTTGTTAGTCTGCCTGCCAGCCTGCCTGCTATCGACCTACCTGCTTGTCTGCCTAATTCTCGCCTGACTGCTTATTGCCTACTTACACTCTACCTTTCTACCTGCTTGTCAATCCGCCTGTCTGTTGCGTGCCTACTTGACTCCTGGGGGACAGGGAGTGACAGGAGTAGTGGATTGTTAGCGGGAGGGAGACAGAAAAGGAGAGGAGGGGGAGAGAGGGAGAGGAGGGGAGATGGAGAGGGAGAGGAGGGGAGTGGAGAGGGAGGGAGAGGAGGGGAGTGGAGAGGGAGGGAGAGAGGGAGAGGAGGGGTAGGGTTAGGTGTACCAATTACTTAAAATCGATAAGGTTTTCTACCTGTGTTCCTCATTCACTAATTATATGAGACACTGTTATTGTCCTTTGTTATGCATGACGGTATAACAGGTGAAGTGGTGTTGTTCTTTGTTATGCATGACGGTATAACAGGTGAAGTGGTGTTGTTCATTGTTATGCATGACGGTATAACAGGTGAAGTGGTGTTGTTCTTTGTTATGCATGACGGTATAACAGGTGAAGTGGTGTTGTTCTTTGTTATGCATGACGGTATAACAGGTGAAGTGGTGTTGTTCTTTGTTATGCATGACGGTATAACAGGTGAAGTGGTGTTGTTCTTTGTTATACATGACAATATAACAGGTGAAGTGGTGTTGTTCTTTGTTATGCATGACGGTATAACCAGGTGAAGTGGTGGTGTTCTTTGTAATGCATGACGGTATAACAAGGTGAAGTGGTGGTATTTCTTTGTTATGCATGACGATATAACAGAGTAAAGTAGTGTATTCTTTGTTGTATGACAGTATAACAGGTGAAGTGGTATTGTTCTTTGTTATGCATGACAGTATAACAGGTGAAGTGGTGTTGTTCTTGTTATGCATGACATTATAACAGGTGAAGTAGTGTTGTTCTTTGTTGTGCATGACGGTATAACAGGTGATCTGGTGTTGTTCTTTGTTATGCATGACGGTATAACAGGTGAAGTGGTGTTGTTCTTTGTTGTGCATGACAGTCTGTAGGTGAAGTGGTGTTGTTCTTTTGTTGTGCATGACGGTATAACAGGTGAAGTGGTGTTGTTCTTTGTTATGGATGACGGTATAACAGGTGAAGTGGTGTTGTTCTTTGTTATGCATGACGGTATAACAGGTGAAGTGGTGTTGTTCTTTGTTGTGCATGACGGTATAACAGGTGAAGTGGTGTTGTTCTTTGTTGTGCATGACGGTATAACAGGTGAAGTGGTGTTGTTCTTTGTTATGCATGACGGTATAACAGGTGAAGTGGTGTTGTTCTTTGTTATGCATGACGGTATAACAGGTGAAGTGGTGTTGTTCTGTTGCATGACGGATAACTGAAGTGGTTGTTCTTGTTGTGCATGACGTATAACAGGTGAAGTGGTGTTGTTCTTTGTTATGCATGACGGTATAACAGGTGAAGTGGTGTTGTTTTGTTATGCATGACGGTATAACAGGTGAAGTGGTGTTGTTCTTGTTATGCATGACGGTATAACAGGTGAAGTGGTGTTGTTCTTTGTTATGCATGACGGTATAACAGGTGAAGTGGTGTTGTTCTTTGTTTGCATGACGGTATAACAGGTGAAGTGGTGTTGTTCTTGTTATGCATGACGGTATAACAGGTGAAGTGGTGTTGTTCTTTGTTATGCATGACGGTATAACAGGTGAAGTGGTGTTGTTCTTTGTTATGCATGACGGTATAACAGGTGAAGTGGTGTTGTTTTTGTTATGCATGACGGTATAACAGGTGAAGTGGTGTTGTTCTTGTTATGCATGACGGTATAACAGGTGAAGTGGTGTTGTTCTTGTTATGCATGACGGTATAACAGGTGAAGTGGTGTTGTTCTTTGTTATGCATGACGGTATAACAGAAGTGGTGTTGTTCTTTGACGATAACAGGTAAGTTTGTTATGCATGACGGTATAACAGGTGAAGTGGTGTTGTTCTTTGTTATGCATGACGGTATAACAGGTGAAGTGGTGTTGTTCTTTGTTATGCATGACGGTATAACAGGTGAAGTGGTGTTGTTCTTGTTATGCATGACGGTATAACAGGTGAAGTGGTGTTGTTCTTGTTATGCATGACGGTATAACAGGTGAAGTGGTGTTGTTCTTTGTTATGCATGACGGTATAACAGGTGAAGTGGTGTTGTTCTTTGTTATGCATGACGGTATAACAGGTGAAGTGGTGTTGTTCTTTGTTATGCATGACGGTATAACAGGTGAAGTGGTGTTGTTCTTTGTTGCATGACGGTATAACAAGTGAAGTGGTGTGTTCTTTGTTATGCATGACGGTATAACAGGTGAAGTGGTGTTGTTCTTTTTATGCATGACGGTATAACAGGTGAAGTGGTGTTGTTCTTTGTTATGCATGACGGTATAACAGGTGAAGTGGTGTTGTTCTTGTTATGCATGACGGTATAACAGGTGAAGTGGTGTTGTTCTTTGTTATGCATGACGGTATAACAGGTGAAGTGGTGTTGTTCTTTGTTATGCATGACGGTATAACAGGTGAAGTGGTGTTGTTCTTTGTTATGCATGACGGCTACAGAAAAACACATTTTATTGAACATTATTTTAAAACATACCCATATACCTTTACTCAAACACACTCAGACACATTCAGACACACTCAAACACACTTAAATACTGAACAGACACACATGTTCAGTACAGTAAAGTGCGTTGATAACTTTTTACAGCGACTGATGAACGCAGCAGGGATGTGGTTTCTGGCTCAGCTGTCAGGTGAGTTTGTCTGGTCATTGTGTGGTGTGGTCAGTGTGGTCCTTGTGTGGTCAGTGTGTGGTCTTTGTGTGGTCAGTGTGTGGTCCTGTGTGGTCATGTGTGGTCTTGTGTGGTCTTGTGTCAGTGTGTGTGGTCAGTGTGGTCCTTGTGTGGTCTGTGTGTGGTCTTGTGTGGTCCTTTGTGTGGTCAGTGTGTGGTCCTTGTGTGGTCAGTGTGTGGTCCTTGTGTGGTCTTGTGTGGTCAGTGTGTGGTCAGTGTGGTCTTGTGTGGTCCTTGTGTGGTCAGTGTGTGGTCCTTGTGTGGTCTTGTGTGGTCAGTCAGTGTGTGGTCTTGTGTGGTCCTTGTGTGGTCAGTGTGTGTTCTTGTGTGGTCAGTGTGGTCCTTGTGTGGTCTTGTGTGGTCAGTGTGTGGTCTTGTGTGTGGTCAGTGTGTGGTCCTTGTGTGGTCTTGTGTGGTCAGTGTGTGGTCAGTGTGTGGTCTTGTGGGTCAGTGTGTGGTCAGTGTGTGGTCCTTGTGTGGTCAGTGTGTGGTCTTTCTGTGGTCTTGTGGTCAGTGTGTGGTCCTTGTGTGGTCTTGTGTGGCCTTGTGTGGTCCTTGTGTGGTCAGTGTGTGGTCTTTGTGTGGTCAGTGTGTGGTCAGTGTGTGGTCTTGTGTGGTCAGTGTGTTCCTTGTGTGGTCAGTGTGTGGTCCTTTGTGTGGTCCTTGTGTGGTCTTGTGTGGTCTTGTGTGGTCTTGTTTGGTCAGTGTGTGGTCCTTGTGTGGTCAGTGTGTGGTCAGTGTGTGGTCCTTGTGTGGTCAGTGTGTGGTCCTTTGTGTGGTCCTTGTGTGGTCTTGTGTGGTCTTGTGTGGTCCTTGTGTGGTCTTGTGGTCCTTGTGTGGTCCTTGTGTGGTCCGTGTGTGGTCCTTTGTGTGGTCAGTGTGTGGTCCTTTGTGTGGTCTTGTGTGGTGGTCCTTGTGTGGTCAGTGTGTGGTCCTTGTGTGGTCAGTGTGTGGTCCTGTGGTCAGTGTGTGTGTCTTCCGTGTGTGTGGTCCTGTATGGTCAGTGTGTGGTCCTTGTGTGGTCTTGTGTGTGGTCTTTGTGTGTGTGGTCCTTGTGTGGTCAGTGTGTGGTCCTTGTGTGGTCAGTGTGTGGTCTTTCTGTGGTCTTGCGTGGTCAGTGTGTGTGGTCCTTGTGTGGTCAGAGTAGTGGTCTTTCTGTGGTCACTACCAGATTTCAAGTACAATCCTCAGTTCAATTATAGTTTTAATGAACATCTGACTATTAGTGAACATTTTAACACCTCACTTTGGTCAGGTCGCTATAACTTCATTCTCCCTCCCCAACCACAAATCTCCACTACCCCCCTCATGCCTCCTCCTTGTTCGAGTATTAGCACTAATACTCGAACCATTGAGGAGATTTTCGAGTTTACACCCCCCCGGTCAATCGTGCAATATTTACTACCAAAATGTTAAATTGTCTATTTTT